AGGGTCTGTGTTTGGATTAATGTATGAAGTGCGGCCACAGACAAGCTTTCTATGTAACGAGACATTAGTGGCAACAAGCTATAGCTCACATATAATTTTGGCCTTAATTTAATGTAGTTTCTATTTTAGTCCGAGGCTTTGTGATCACTTGTGGGAGCTGTTAATGCAAACTGTCTTGGTTTCACATTAAAAGATGCTGATGTTTGCTATGTTCCATCAACACTAAACATCAACCAGTTAATGTGGCTAATGTTAGCTACAGCATAGGTTTCTTGTTCTGGAGTCATTCATTAAGTAAGGCTCAACGTTTTATTTTCTTACAGAACCCTGATATTACAGACTTTAGAAGACAAATAATCAGGCAGCCTGAGCACTTCAGCGTTCAGTGCCTTTCTCAAGGGCCCATTCTGTTTACCTTCCCCAAAGCATTATGGGAACTGTAGTACTACAATGTGGAGTATGATTATCACCCAAATAAAATTCAGACAAATCTGAGGCTAAGAATGTCCCATCAACAGAGAATGTGTTGCTTTGGATTGATTTTAACCCTGGTGTGGGTAGATCAACAGGCCTGGGAATATGCAGTTTTCCCCTAATCATCTCCTGGTTGCCCCTTTGTTGGTTTATGCCTCAGGTCAGATAATAACCAGTCTGTCTCTCCCCCTCTCTCTTTTAGGTGGACGAAATTAAGAAGCTGGCACATGACAGGAAGAATTTCTCCCAAGTCGGCGCTTACATTGCAGGAAAGAAGTGCATGATGCTCCGAGATGAGTTGGACACAGACAAGGTCCACACCTTGGACCTGAAGACCGCTAGAGACGCTGATGGCAACGCCTATGGAATATGTGTTGGAAAGAGCAAGCAGGGTAAGACAGACATGCATTCAGAGAGACATAGATACTGGTAGAGGGGGAGATAGACAGTGTGACATCACTTCCTGACAGTCTTACTTCAGGTCCGATATCCCCCAGAGTCCTGTATGAGTATGTGTTTAACTTGAATACCTTCTCTAAAGATAAGACAGGAGTCTTCTTTGTTGTTGTTGTTTGTAGTAAATGAAGGTTTGACTCTCCTGTCTTACCCAGCTGTCTCTCTCTCTCTGTCTCACCAGCTTTAGTCATAGCTATGGGCACAAAAGAGGCATCTGGAGGTCAGCTAACCAGCAAGGTGTTTGGCGTTGTTGACTACCTGCGAGGAGTCAACATGTAAGACAAAATGGCCACCGTCCCCTCCTGTACCCACCAACCAAGATGGCTGCCACCCCCCTGCCTTCCCCTGCGTATCGACTCAAGAAAACGGCCACTGCTCTGAGCTTCTTTAGTTTCTTTTATTATTTTGACCTTCCCGGCGTATTTCTGCCATCAGGGATAAAAATGAGGTGTTTAAAGTTTAAATCCATGTAATGAATGAGTGGTAGAAGTGAACACACATGCGGCAGTGGACTGTGTGTGTGTGAAAGCTGTTAGCATGTTTGAATCTGTTAAAAGCAGGGAGCCAGTGTTACATTTTTTTTTTTTTACAGTGGCGATGGATTTGTGTCCAATCACAGCTCTCTGGAGACAAATTACACACTGAAAAATAAAAAAACAACATGTTTATTCTATAAAACACTCTGAGTGTCTGTCTCTCTCTGTGTCTGAGCTTGTGCATTGTGAGGACATATTTCAGTTTTAAATCATTGAGGACATTTAGGTTAGGATTAGTTTAGGATCCTAAGTATGCATGTCATGGTGCATGGGCAAGTAAAAAAGGTACGAGTTAGGGTGCAGGTACAGGTACAGGTTAGGGTACAGGTCAACTTAGTGTACAGGTACGAGTACAAGTTAGGATACAGGTACGAGTTAGAGTACAGGTCAACTTAGGGTACAGGTAGAGGTACGAGTTAGGGTGCAGGTACAGGTACAGGTTAGGGTATAGGTCAACTTAGTGTACAGGTACGAGTACAAGTTAGGATACAGGTACAAGTTAGAGTACAGGTCAACTTAGGGTACGGGTAGAGGTACGAGTTAGGGTACAGGTCATCTTAGGGTACAGGTAGAGGTATGAGTTAGGATACAGGTCCACTTAGCGTACAGGCACGAGTACAAGTTAGGGTACAGGTACAAGTTGGGTACAAGTCATCTTAGGGTACAGGTAGAGGTACAAGTTAGGATACAGGTCCACTTAGTGTACAGGCATGAGTGCAAGTTAGGGTACAGGTACAAGTTGGGTACAAGTCATCTAGGGTACAGGTAGAGGTACAAGTTAGGGTACAGGTCATCTTAGGGTACAGGTAGAGGTATGAGTTAGGATACAGGTCCACTTAGTGTACAGGCACGAGTACAAGTTAGGGTACAGGTACAAGTTGGGTACAAGTCATCTTAGGGTACAGGTAGAGGTACGAGTTAGGGTACAGGTACAAGTTGGGTACAAGTCATCATAGGGTACAGGTAGAGGTACGAGTTAGGGTACAGGTCAATTTAGGGTACAGGTACGAGTACAAGTTAGGGTACAGGTACGAGTTAGGGTACAGGTCAACTTAAGGTACAGGTACGAGTTAGGGTACAGGTAAGGGTAAAAGTTAGGATACAGCTGAAGGTAAAGGTGAACACAGAAGTCACCCCTGGAGGATCCACCATGATCATGTAAGTATTTAGCAGCTCGTAGTAACCACCTATAGGTCAAGAAACTTCATGGGTGTGTTTGATTTGAGTCACATAGCATGCTCGCCGGGCGGAGCTTTAATCTGGTGAGGGAGGTGGACACAACCTTTTTTGACAAGTGTACATGCGGACTGGTGTAAATAAAGACCAACTCTGAAGTACAATACTTGAGAAAATATGTACCAATGTAACAGTACTATTTTAAATACTAGTATGCAAGGAACAACTCTGTTGCAGTAACAAGAATACATACTATCTTTATTACTGGTACTGCAATACTACACCTCTAAAACTAATACTCATATTTCTATTATGTATTACTATCACTGCTTCTGTAACTTATACTACTATGACTACTTATAGTACTACTTATAATACTGCCTCCACTGCTGCTGCTCTCTCTACTACTACAGTTCTGCCACCACACCATAGTACTAGGACTACTACTGTTACCAGCTGAACCATAGTACAATGACTGTGTTACAATATGTTGATAGACAGTATGCAGAAGTACACTTTATATTATAAAGTCTGTTTAATGTTCTTTATTGATAATAATAATATTATTATTATTATTATTATTACTTTATTGATACCGCTGGTTGTTAACAGTGAAATCAAGTGTTACGAAGAGGACTGTACTACAGTGTACTACAGTAAGAGTAAAGATACTGCTGAATATAAAATGAGAGTATCTATAAGAAGAGAAGACCCCCGCCCTTCCCCCTCCAGTCATGTGCGGTTATATTTAGCTGCAGTAAAAGGCTACAGGGACACTGGACATGCTGTGTGTAGTACAGTTAAAGGTGAGTGTAAAGGGTAAGGTGTGTGTGTGTGTTGGGGTTAGTGCCCTTTGCAGTGAATGCAGGGCCGGTCTCACATTTACCCTTTAGATCAACTTTGACCTTCTCTGTCTGAGTTAGGGGCCGTCACACTAGTTCACCCCACAGAGAGAAACAAATAATTATTTAATAAAAATACATGAAAATATTCATATAATACATTAATAAAATCTGTGTGAGTAGATACAGTCTTTTATGTGTCATACATAAGGGCTTATAATGTGACTGTAGTAACAGAAACTATGTTGGATTGTGAATAATATACACATTTTGTTTGAAGAAGCAGACCTGGGGAATGAAAATAATTCTAATAAACAACCACAAGAAGATTCAAATGTTAATTCTGCTGACATGAATAATCAATAAGAATCAAATTTGTAAATAAACAGCATAACACATGATGGCGTTCTGAATAAATCTGTCCAGCAGTTTTATAAAGAAAACAGGTGCAGGAATATTTACTTTCTTGATTCTTTGTGAGTTTATTTAGTTTTTTATTAGACTAAAAAACTAGTGTGAAGGACTGAACTATCGAACTGACGCATCTCGAGGTACAAAGTGGTATTTCAGCACAGGACGGGCCAGCGTTAGCTGATTAGCATGCTAACATCAGTAGATATACATAAACGTCTTTGACATGACGTAGTATTTGTTAATTTTATAAGTTAATGAAAATATTCATATATTAATTTTATCTTTCAAACAAATTAACTTCTGGTGATATCTTACACATATTGTACTATATTACTACAACTGCTATTATAATTACTTCCAATAATACTGCTCCTATGCTACTATGTCTGTTACTGCTAATATTATTACAAACAATAGTAGCCTACAGCTAGTACTAATACATACACAAGTACTGTCAGTACTGTTAGCACATCTGCTTTTGCTATTATCAGCTACTACCACTTTAAATCTTTTGTCTACTAACACGCTAATTTTGATAGATTTTTGATATATTGTAAGAACTACTGCTGTTACTGCTTCTACTACTGCAAGTAAATCCTGCTAATATGTAAATATTGCTACAATCTTTGCTACTAACTTTTGCCAGCACAGCTGCTTGTACTACTTTTTATCTGCTTCTTCAACTAACACAGTATTCTTACTTCTTACTGTTAATATGCTAATACTGATATTGCTAAAACTGCTGAAACAAATACTGCAACCTCCTCTGGTTATGCTTCTTCTATAATTGCTAATACACTTAATACTGATACAACTACTGTTACTTGTTCTGCATCCAATAATACTGCACTATTTACTGGTGATACTGCTACTACTTCTGTAGACACTGTTCTAATTACTGGTAATATGCTAATATTATTACAACCTATACTACTTAAACTTCTACTGATATGCTAATAAATATATATTCCTACACAACAAACATCTTCTGTAGTATTTGCATTTGTTGTCGGGCTCCTCAGAGTTCACGGTGTTGTTGTATTGTGTCAGCTCTTTGTGCTGCAGGTTCTTCTGTTCGCCTGCAGTCCTGTCCCACACAGACGCTCCCTGCCTCTGCACCCAGCCTCCACCCCCTTTCAGGAAGCGTCTATAAAAACCCTGCAGCGAGACAGACAGACACTTTCCACGTCAGTCGGACAGTCAAACGGACAGACAGACGGCCACAGTCTTCTCTTCTTTTCTCCGTCCACACAGCTGAGGTAGGCTGGAGTTTTCAGCTCTGGTTGGTCCCTTTGTGAAACAACTTTTGCTTTAGTTCTAACATAGAAACTATTTCCTGTTTGTTACTCACTCTGGTCTAAACCTGTTACAACTTGTCTCTTTTATCTTATTTTGAAAGTTTTCAGAGGAAGTTGGCACACTGGAAGTTAAATCAGATATCTGCATACGCTCCATTTTCTCAAATCTCAGTGTGTTTGATTCTTGATCTAAACTCAAAGACAGAAACCCCTCAGGCTTTGACTTTCAGCAGCCTGGAGGTCAAAGTGCTGCAGAGCCGAGCCGAGCGAATGCAATCTGACAAACAGCAGCAGAAGTACAAAGTCCAGACAGACAGCGAGGCAGAGCACTTTGATTTAATGTGTAAGATGTTTACTGATGAACTAACCTGAACATAGCTGGATCCCAACACGTCAGCGCATTCATAGCACATTATTAAATACATACAGCAGTGATGGTACTGTTGTAGCAGTAGTATAGGAATAGTACAAGTATTTCAAGCAATAATCAGAGCAGCAGTAGTACTAAGAAGAAGTTTTGTATTAGTAGAAGTCATGTAAGCGATACTTTTAGCACAAGTAGTAGCAGTATTTTTAGGAGTAGAATTAGGGGTAACAGTTGTGTAACCACTACTTTTAGCAGGATCAAGATCAGGGGTCATGAATAGGGTTAGGGGTCAGGGGTCTGGGTTGGGGTTAAGGTTCAGGGGTCAGGGGTCAGGTCCCCACAAAGACAGCCATACGGTGTGTGTGTGTGTGTGTGTGTGTGTGTGTGTGTGTGTGTGTGTGTGTGTACAGGAAATTCTTTGTAAAGGCCATGAGTGATTTCAAGTCTACTGCAACCACTCAGCTGTTGTTCTGCTGGCACGTCTGACCAATCACTGTGCACGACTGACATGCACGTACACACACACTCATGGTTACATAACACAGACTCTCAGACCTGAAGAACGTCCAGCAGAAATCTGTTTAAACAGCTGAGGGGTAAACCTTCCCCTCCTGCAAACTAATACTGCTGCAACTTACATAGCTAGGACTATTACTGCTGCTGCCTCGTACTGTACTCTGCACTGTACTGTGTACTGTACTGTACACTGCCCTTGCTTCTACAAGTACTTCCCCACTACTGGTACAAACATAGTAATACTGCTGTAGCTTACACTGTCAGGGCTATTGTTAATACTTCATCTGATTCTACTACTACTAATATTGTTAATACTGCAACAACTACTATTGCTGATATTGCTGCTTCCACTTCGGCTAATACATCAATACTTCAACAAGTTTTGCTATACAGGCTTCCATTACTGTGAATAATGCTAGTACTACCACTATTGTTCTGAATACTGCTTCCACTACTGCGAATCCTACTACAAACACAAGTAATACACCTTACTTACACCACTGCTGATACTTTCTGCTTCTATCATTAACACTGCTTCTACTGTCGCTATGCTAATCTGCTAGTTGTGAGTTATTACAGATAACACGTCAGCGTGTTTATGTCCATCAGCTGAGCAAACACCTTTAATGTCCTGCCGTCTCTGTAGAAGCTGTAATGTTGGTGTTGCAGACAGGAACAGACCTTTAGTTATCACAGAGAGGCTGGTGTCATAAATACCTCTTTAAATGTCAAGAACATTAATAAGTGTGTGAGTGTGTGTGAACTGTAATTCTATAACAGCGAGGAGGAAGTCAGGACCTCTGTATAAAAGGTCAGGGAAAAGGTCAGAGAGTTTAACACACTTACTGTATTAATAACCTCCAGAGGAAGATAAGGGAATCACTCTCTCTCTCTCTCTTTAATCCCCCCTCCTCTGTCACGAGAATAGTCTCTTCCCCTCTCTCTTATTGGTCCTGGTGATCCGCCTGTCAGGAGGGAAACTCTGTGAATGGCTGTGTGGGAGGGGGTGGGTGGCGTCTGACAGGGGACAGGGCGTGCTGCCTGCTGTCATGGAGGCAGCATGGCGTTACACAGGATCTCTGCAGCAGGTCTCTCACACACACACACACACACGCGCATGTACACACACACACACACAAACGCATGTACACACACACAGCGAGTTTAGCATTTTGTCCTCTGCTTCATAACTGGTTTGTCTTTTTCAAGGTCACCGGTTGACTTCCTGTCTCTCTGTCTGACAAAATTCAAATTCACATAAAGTTTATTGGCATGAATGTGGACGACACATTACACAACACAACACGGTCGTGAGAAAAGAGGAAAAAACATTGATAGATATCTTTTGTGTTTTTGATCTATCGCTAACATTTAGTTCTATGTTTGTCTTCTAAATGTCAGCACAGTTGGCTGCTGAAGCTTTCAACAAGGACTGAGCTGCAGAGAGGACTTTTCAGAATCAGAATGCACTTTATTGATTATCTTTGTACCAGATACTCACGTGCACATTAAGGATAGAAATAACAGCAGAAGTTAAGTAGAGAATATTTACATTTACTCATTTGACAGATGGTTTTATCCAAACCGACTTACAAGTCTGAAGGAGGTCTGTGAGATCCTGAAGAGGTCTGACTGTTAATAATGAGCGTTTAAAGTGAATCTGCTGTGACAGAGGGCGCCAGAGTAACTGAATCAGCCGGGCAGGGACATGTTGATGTAGGCTGAAGTCGGTGAATAAGTAGTCAGTGCATAATGTGACCAAAGCAGTGACAAAGATTTAAAGCAGGGCAAAGTCTGGAGATGTGTTTCGCAGATGAAAAAAGGCAGGGGATTGTCTATATGACTGGAGAAAAACAGGGTCCCATCCAAGAAGACACTAAAGCTGATGATACAACTTTTAGGGCAATGGTGCCGTCAACGGTAATGAGAAAAGACTACTACCGTAATCTCCTTCCCCCACCACTCGGCTACCCGCTCCGTCCCACCACTATCCATTCAAAACATAGTCGGGCTTGCCACAAGCAAGATTGCCCTGCAGCATTGCTCAAAAAGTTGCCCGGTGTATCATCAGCTTTAGGCTCTTGACCTGTGTGCAGACAGGTATGATGGCTGCTGATCTTAACTAGGACCAGTTGTGCACTTGGTCCAGGGCAAAAGCCAGTTTGGAATTGTTCAGAAAGTTTATTCTTGTCAAGGTAGATCTGTAGTTAAAATGCAACATCCCTCTTAACAATGGTGAATCTGAGATGTCTAAACCAGTCGGTCTGTTCCTGTTCTAATAATCCTGGAACATGGCCTGGTTGCCAATTGTAGGACAGCTTCTAGAAACATTATTTTATTGCGACCACATTATCCACACAGACACCAACATAAACTCTAAACATAAACAAATTCAAATGTTACATATTTACACAGAGTCTGGACAGTGAAAACTGGCTGGTCTCTGGTGACCTCAGAAGTAGCTCGCCCTGTCAGTCTCTCATCAAATCAGGCCCTTCTCTCTTGAGCAGATCTTCTTCCATTGATCTACAGTAGAATGATGTCTCATGGCAACACGCTTTCTCAACAGCGTGGGAGCAAAGACAGGTCGGATGGGGAATCCATGAGTCTTTGCAGCCAAACAGAAAAACTATGATGTGGATCATATTAGTATGTCATCTGCATACGCAGCAAATGTCTCACCTCTTTTGTTTCTGTCTCCCCACCTTTCTCTCCCCCTCCCCTCCTTCAGTCAGGATGTCTATCACTAAGATTCACGCTCGGGAGATTCTGGACTCCAGAGGAAACCCCACGGTGGAGGTGGACCTGTGGACAGCCAAGGGTGAGAACCCACAAGCTCTGTGAATATACAGTACATGCCTTTACTAAGTCAAGTTGACTGATATATTAGCGAGTCTGGCTAATAAAAACATAGGTGCATGATGTGCTTAGCCTAGCTTAGCTCAAAGACTGGAAGCAGGTGGAAACTGCTAGCTTAGCTTCATCAAAAGAGACACATCTACCTTCTAACAACTCTAACTCTCTGTCCGTCTCTCAGGTCTTTTCAGGGCAGCAGTTCCCAGCGGTGCATCAACTGGAGTCCATGAAGCTCTGGAGCTCCGCGATGGAGACAAGAGCCGCTACCTGGGCAAAGGTAAGAGCAAGGCAGCAGCAGGATGAGGGTTCAGATCCCCACAGAGCAAAGCAGTAATACTACATGCGGAGCTGGAAAGTGTTCCTTTGCTTCTTACCAGGTATAAAATGGAAATGTTAAGGTTCTTGTTTTTCCCTGCAGGTACTATTAAGGCTGTGGATCACGTGAACAAGGACATCGCCCCCAAGCTGATTGAGAAGGTATCAGTAAATGATCAATATCTCAAATGTAAATACACAATAAAGCGTCAGTGTGATTGAAGCAGAGTAGAATAACATTTCCAAATTTCAGAAATGTTGCTTTAGTCTGAGTATGCTCAAAGCTAATGCTAGTCCGATGTGAGAAAATGTTAACTACTGGAAAATACAAAGGTTTCTTATCTTAAGGAAATAACCTACAATGAACACATTTTGTCTCTGTCTCTGCAGAAGTTCAGCGTTGTTGAGCAGGAGAAGATCGACAAGTTCATGTTGGAGTTGGACGGCACTGAGAACAAATGTAAATACCTGTTTTGTCTCTCTGTCTGTCTCTGTCTGACCCGTCTGTCTCTCTGTCTGTCTGTCTCTCTCTGTCTGACCCGTCTGTCTCTCTGTCTACAGCTAAGTTTGGTGCTAACGCCATCCTGGGTGTGTCGCTGGCCGTCTGCAAGGCGGGGGCAGCGGAGAAGGGAGTTCCTCTCTACCGCCACATCGCTGACCTCGCCGGACATAAAGACGTCATACTTCCTGTTCCTGTGAGTGGGAGGGGCTTTGACTCTGACTTGAAATCTAAATTTACGTATTCAGCAACGTCCATTACAACCTAGATTATCAAAAAGCTAATTTTGATGCTTTGGCAACAAAAAGGCTGAAAGTGTGCTTTAGCCTAGTTTGCTAGAAGAAGTGTTCTCAAAGTGGGGTCCGGGGACCCTTAGGAGTCCTCGAGGAGGTAACTGGGGGTCCCCAGCAAAAAGGTGAATTATTTATTTTCACTATATTTTCATCCACAAGTTACATGATGGCAGAACATATGACTATTTTGGTACTTTCTGTAATAAAACATCAAAAAGCCAAAATCCTGTCAGATGGGGGTCCGTGGTCTAATTTGTCAGTTTAGGGGTCCTTGATGTAAAAAAGTTTGAGAATTTCTGTGCTACAACAAAGTGATGTTGTCCACCATATTGTTTATTTGGTTTATAAATTTTTTCTAATTAGTTAGGTGAAGGTGAAGATCACCAGTAAATTAACTAAAGAGGTTAAGAAGTAATGTAATAAGGAATATTGGCTCAGTGGTTAGAATAAAAAGTAACTGTCCTCTGATTTTCTGTTGGCTAATAAAAAGGTCTCCATTAATTTATCATGGGTGGCTAGTTAAATGGTGAAATGACTACTAAGTTAAAGTAACTGTAGTGTCTTATAATCATTTTCTCCTACGCAGGCCTTTAACGTCATTAACGGTGGAAGCCACGCTGGAAACAAACTGGCCATGCAGGAGTTCATGATTCTTCCAGTTGGAGCCGCCAACTTCCACGAGGCCATGAGGATCGGAGCCGAGGTGCTACACATTTATTAGCAGTAGTTGATTCAGGGACAAACAAAAATACATCAAGATGTATTTTAAAATAAGATACCAACATACCCTTAATCTAAGCGTATCAAAAAAAAGCAGACACGACACACGACATGTATTAAAATAAACTAATTTCCCATCAGTACCCTGACTCAGTTGATTAAGTGATCGGTGTTTGAGAGCAGCAGCTTTTCTCTCCCTAATGAGTCATGTGATAAATCTGACATGCAACCAATTAACAGATCAAATATTCACATATCCCTGTGATTAATAGGATGAAGGTTAGTTGTAAAGTCAGTAATGTTTAAATAACAGTTTGCTAATGACTCATAAGGGGATCCTAATTTAGATTAGGATCGTGCCTTGTTTTGAGTAGCTTTTGAGGAATCAGTACCATTAATGGAATTTACCTGCATGTAAGTCAGACAGGTAGCTGCAAGGATCAGTTTTAGTTTTCAATGAGATTAAAACTGTGCTACAAACGACTGTTTCGGGAGGGCAGCGTAGGCTACAAGCTTGCACCAGCATGACTCCCCTACCTCGTCTATTCTTTGCCTTTCTCTCAATCATGTCTCTCCTCGTAGGCTAATTCCTCTCCACGCTCCTCTCTCTGCCTCCAATCTTGTTTTGACTAGCAAAAGAGGGAGACACAGCTTTGATGTTGAAATTTTACATATAGTGCCCATAGTGTCATGTTCATTTCGTGAACACCAATTCTTAACACAAACTGTTAAGTTTTGAATTTTATAAATACCAAAGTATTTTGGTACAAAATATAAAGATTTATAAAAAATTTCATCAACTCTATAAAACTGTATCATAAATACTGCCCATACCTGGTTGTATTAGTAGTTACATTGTTAGTATTAATATAACACACTCATTATTTATTACATTATTTCTACTGTTGGCTTTGAGTAAATGTTGATGTGCATGTCTGACTGTATTCTGACGTGTAAATGTTCAGGTGTACCACAACCTGAAGAACGTGATCAAGGCGAAGTACGGTAAAGACGCCACAAACGTGGGAGACGAGGGAGGCTTCGCCCCCAACATCCTGGAGAACAATGAGGGTGAGACATCCACCTGTCTGTCTGTCTGAATGGTCTGTTTGTAGTATTTTTCTACAACAGGAGTGAATAATTTGTGAAAATACTAGTTTAAAACTTACTCTCATAAACATATGTCATGATATTAATGATATTGCAACATTAAGAAAGTGATTAAATAAATATTGTAATAACTTTTAAAGCAAATATTACACTATAATCCAGCTTCTTAAAAGTGAGTATTTGCTGGTTTTATTATATTACAGTTATGTTGTAATATATATTAATATGCATGCTGTAGTTCTTGTCTTAAATACAGTTATTGCAGAAATTCCTTGTAAATCATTTATATTATGTTTTGCCTAAACTGCTCTGCATTTACTTGAGAGATATTGTGGACTTAGGAGATGTTCCACTCTGTTTACTTTTCCTGCAACCAGATCTCAGCTCCTGCTGTCACAGGAAGAGAAAATGAGTAAAATGGGACTCAGTCCTTCACATCAACACCCACACACTAAACATAAATACTTTATGTCTCTGTGCAGCTCTGGAGCTGCTGAAGTCGGCCATCGAGAAGGCCGGCTACCCCGACAAGATCATCATCGGGATGGACGTGGCGGCGTCCGAGTTCTACCGCAGTGGAAAGTACGACCTGGACTTCAAGTCCCCCGACGACCCGTCCAGACACATCAGCGGAGAGAAGCTGGGAGACCTGTACCGCAGCTTCATCAAGAACTACCCCGGTAACCACACACAGGTCACACTAGAACAAACTGAGGTCAAATCCAGGAAACCAAGAAGTACAATTTGTACAATTTGTACATACTTTAAAGGATTTAGTTATTTTCAAAGCAGTGACAACAATTTATAGCATCTACTTCCAAGTCTTTCATGCGATTTCTCAACTGCAAATCAGTCTGCAATGTGTTCCATGTGTTGGATGGAGCAGTATAACTAAAGGCTCTCTTACCGAGCTCTGTACGGGTCACAGGTACAGATAACATAGGTAGGATAACAAATACAAGTTACTGAAGCGCAAATTATAGGAACTGATGTTGTGTGACATATAAGTGCAAAGAAGGGATAATTAATAAAGGGAAGTTGGAAGCTGGAAACAGGAGTGAGGGCCCTAGCTTTAGTTGAGACCAAACACAGTTTTTTAACCACCTTGTCTCACCTTGTATGATATCATTTAAGAATACGTCAGTAGCCTACAATTTATATTTTCTTCATTTACACCACACATGTACTCTAGCCTACAATGTTTTGGTAGCATCATAGATCAAGTTTTATTTCTAAAGGTAGTATATTGAGTTAATTATTATTTTCAAAAGGGAACAAAGGTGCTCTTCTATTGCTGGCAGTGCTGACTGGCATTACGTTTGGAGGACTATAAACACATGAAAATACACCGACCTGCATGTGTCAGATGTGTTATAAATGTAGAATTTAATGCTATAAGTAACTTCTAATAACTCGTACACAGTCTGTGATGTCATGATCAGATTTTGTACAGGTGATCAGTGTGCAATACTGAATACTTTGAAGTATGATTGGCATTAATTCTGTTTTTGCTTGCTTAGATATAAATACAGTGGATGTCTATGGGGAGTGTGTTTGAACCATAATTACTCAGAGAGATCAATAAGAAAAATCGAAAGTACTGCGAAGTAATGCACATTTTTGAATGCAGAAAACGACATAATATGGTGCATGTATTGACATATGAACGATACACAGCACAAGCAATTTTGGAGGCACAAAAAAGGCAAAGAATAAGAGGAATTCAAGACACTTACTAGAATACTTACAAATACCTTAAAAATACTTGATACTGACCATCTCTTTGTAGCATTTGTTATTAAACGCACTTGAATTTAATGTTGAAATCAAAGACATTTAAAGGATAGAAGAAGATGTTTTGGAGAATCACAGAGATGTTTGAAGAGTTTAAATGACACATTTTCAATAGAAGTTCGCATTGGATGAATAAAAGCGCTGTAGCAGCTCTCAGCCTGTAGAGGTCAGTACAACTCTGCCCTGAAGTAACTCTGTTCATCTCCTTCACCCCAACCGGTCGAGGCAGATGGCCGCCCACCCTGAGTCATGGTTCTGCTCGAGGTTTCTGCCTCTTAAGGAAGTTTTTCCTTGCCTCTGTCTCCTAGTGCTGCTTGGTGGGAACTGTTGGGCTTCTGTAAATAGCATCATAGAGTTCGGTATAGACCTGCTCTTTTATGAAAAGCGCTGTGAGATAACTGTTGT